TGGGGGGGGGGGGGGGGGGGGGGGGGGTTATTTGACATAACGAATGGAATATTTGAGAAAATTGCTATTTTGAAATTGATAAAGCATGGTAAATAATGTTTTTGATAACAGCTTGGTCTAGACAATGAATGTGTTTTTCACTCAATATGATTCTTAGACCTTAGATTTGGAACTTGACAGCAAATACAGGTCTTTACATAATTAAACGATGAATAATTAATACATTATTTAACTTACCTGATTTGGGCGGCACTGTAGCTGTAATGAGATAAAAACAAGTGTTATCATTACACGTTACAAGGTTAGTGTTAGGGTTAGGGTTAGTTATAGGGTTAGTGTTAGGGTTAGGGTTAGGGTTAGGGTTGCCTGTAGTCATCAGTACATTTTATTTCATATGAAACATTAAAAATTTACTACGCTAAAAAACTGGGGTTTTTTTTAGTCTGTAAAAATTTGGAAGTAAATTTAGCAATTTATTGATAAAAAACTGTTTTTTAATTTGATTAACTTTTAAGTTACGTGTAAAATGTGTACTTGTACTTGGTTATTGTATTTGGTATATTTATGCAGTAACATGTCCTTATTTCGGTTTTTATACACTTGTTCGATACAGGGTCATCGATTTATCGCTAATGAAGTAGCACAGTTGCGTTCTTGAAATGACATCGCTTTTTACCCTTTTCCAAATTTTCGAAACACGTTCGGTTGATTTTAATATCCGTTTGTTTTGCGTATATTTCAGAAATAATGCATCTAAATTATCGAAATAACAACACAAAGTTCTATATCATTGATTTAGTTTTTGTTTGCATTAGAAAGGGGATCCAAATCATTAAGGTATAGTATAATTGACAGTGGAACGGGGATCATCAACATAACTGTCCAGTATAATTGTCAGTAGTAAGTCGGTCCTAAACATTACTGTACAGTATACTTGTCAGTAGTATGGGGAAACTACACATTACTGTACAGTATACTTGTCAGTAGTACGGGGTACTACACATTACTCTACAGTATACTTGTCAGTAGTACGGGGATCCTACAAATTACTGTACAGAATAATTGTCCGTAGTACGAGGTACTACACATTACTGTACAGTATAATTGTCAGTAGTACGGGGATCCTACACATTACTGTACAGTATAATTGTCAGTAGTACGGGGATCCTAAACATTACAGTACAATATAATTGTCAGTAGTACTAAACATTATTGTACAGTATACTTGTCAGTAGTACGGGGATACTACACATTACTGTACAGTATAATTGTCCGTAGTACGGGGATCCTAAACATTACAGTACAATATAATTGTCAATAGTACGGGGATACTAAACATTACTGTACAGTATACTTGTCAGTAGTACGGGGATCCTACAAATTACTGTACAGTATAATTGTCCGTAGTACGGGGTACTACACATTACTGTACAGTATAATTGTCCGTAGTACGGGTATCCTAAATATTACAGTACAATATAATTGTCAATAGTACGGGGATACTAAACATTACAGTACAATATAATTGTCAGTAGTACTAAACATTATTGTACAGTATACTTGTCAGTAGTACGGGGATACTACACATTACTGTACTGTATAATTGTCTGTAGTACGGGGATACTACACATTACTTTACAGTATAATTGTCAGTAGTACGGGGATACTAAACATTACTATATTGTATAATTGTCAGTGGTACGGGGATTCTATACATTACTGTGCAGTATAATTGTCAGTAGTACGGGGATACTAAACATTACTGTACAGTATACTTGTCAGTAGTACGGGGGTCTTGAACTTTACTGTACAGTATAATTGTCAGTAGTACGGGGGTCCTAAACATTACTGTACAGTATACTTGTCAGTAGTTCGGGGGTCCTAAACATTACTGTACAGTATAATTGTCAGAAGTACGGGGATCCTACACATTACTGTACATTATAGTTGCCAGTAGTACGGGGATCCTCAACATTACTGTACAGTATAATTGTCTGTAGTACGGGGGTCCTAAACATTACTGTACAGTATACTTGTCAGTAGTTCGGGGGTCCTAAACATTACTGTACAGTATACTTGTCAGTAATACGAGGATACTAAACATTACTGTACATTATAATTGTCAGTCGTACGAGGATACTAAACATTTCAGTACAATATAAAGGTCAGTGGTACGGGGATCCTACACATTACTGTACAGTATAATTGTCCGTAGTACGGGGGTTCTAAACATTACTGTATAGTATTATCGTCAGTAGTACGGGGATACTAAACATTACTGTACAGTATACTTGTCAGAAGTACGGGGTTCCTGGACATTACTGTACAGTATACTTGTCAGTAGTACGGGGAACCTACACATTACTGTACAGTATACTTGTCAGTAGTACGGGGATACTACACATTACTGTACAGTATAATTGTCCGTAGTACGGGGTACTACACATTACTGTACAGGATAATTGTCAGTAGTACGGGGAAACTACACATTACTGTACAGTATACTTGTCAGTAGTACGGGGGTCCTACACATTAGTGTACAGTATACTTGTCAGTAGTACGGGGATACTTTGTCAGTAGTACGGGAATCGTACACATTACTGTACGGTATAATTGTCAGTAGTACGGGGGTCCTACACATTACTGTACAGTATACTTTTAGTAGTACGGGGATCCTAAACATTACTGTACATTATACTTGTCAGTAGTACGGGGATCCTAAACATTACTGTACAGTATACTTGTCAGTAGTACGGGGATACTACAAATTACTGTACAGTATACTTGTCAGTGGTACGGGGATCCTACACATTACTGTACAGTATAATTGTCTGTAATACGGGGATCCTAAACGTTACTGTACAGTTTACTTGTCAGTAGTACGGGGATACTACACATTACTGTAGAGTATAATTGTCAGTAGTACGGGGATCCTAAACATTATTGTACAGTATTATTGTCAGTAGTACGGGGATACTTTGTCAGTAGTACGGGGATCCTACACATTACTGTACAGTATAATTGTCAGTAGTACGGGGGTCGTAAACTTTACTGTACATTATAATCGTCAGTAGGACGGGGGTCCTGGACATTACTGTATAGTATAATTGTCTGTAATACGGGGATCCTAAACATTATTTTACTGTATAGTTGTCAGTATTACGGGGTTCCTAAACATTACTGTACAGTATTATCGTCAGTAGTATGGGGGTCATAACATTACTGTTCAGTATAATTGAAAGTAGTGCGGGGGTCATACACATTACTGTAGAGTATAATTGTCAGTATTACGGGGTCCTTAACATTAATGTACAGTATAATTGTGAGTAGTACGGGTATACTACACATTACTGTACAGTCTAATTGTCAGTAGTACGGGGGTCCTAAACATTACTGTACAGTATACTTGTCAGTAGTACGGGGATACTACACATTACTGTACAGTTTACTTGTCAGTAGTACGGGGATACTTTGTCAGTAGTACGGGGATCCTACACATTACTGTACAGTATAATTGTCAGTAGTACGGGGTTCTTTAACTTTACTGTACATTATAATTGTCAGTGGGACGGGGGTCCTGGACATTACTGTATAGTATAATTGTCAGTAGTTCGAGGGTCCTAAACATTACTGTACAGTATACTTGTCAGTAGTACGGGGGTCCTACACATTACTGTACAGTATAATTGTCAGTAGTACGGGGATCCTACACATTACTGTACAGTATAATTGTCAGTAGTACGGGGGTCCTAAACATTAATATACAGTATACTTGTCAGTAGTACGGGTAAACTACACATTACTGTATAGTATAATCGTCAGTAGTACGGGGATCCTAACCATTACTGTACAGTATAATTGTCTGTAGTACGGGGATCCTACACATTACTGTACAGTATAATTGTCAGGGATACGGGGATCCACCAGCGATGTCAAAGTGTATATACCTAATTTGTCAGGTATTTCTGCCTGTGTTTCTCTTAGTTACTTACTTTCCACGGGATATGGCCTCTGTCTGAATCCTGGCGGGGGCAATTCCGGTACTGCAAAATATAAAAGATTTGTTTAAAATTAGTTAAATGCAAAAACTGTCAATACTCTACTCTCTAATTCCTCGTCCAAAATCGGTTTAGAAATACGTAGCAATATTACCTTTTATGACTTTAGATAGAAATAATTTCTTTTGGGCTAAGCTGATGAAAAGTTTAAACTCTTAAAATCTTAACAGAAGCACACCATGTAATAGTTAAATGAAAATTTGATGGGATTATTATGCAAATGAGATAAGGTGTCAAAGCATTGCTTATATGGTCGCCCGTGTCTGCCACTGGAGTCGCTATCATCTGATACAGACGATACAAACAATAATATAGTCATTGAGACGTGTAAGTAATGAAGTTTTCAGTTATTTTATTTCTTTACTTTGTTATTGAAATTGAGGACACCACTGTGTTACAGTGTGGTCTAGGGATGTAAATTGGGTCCATGTATTGTATTACACAAAACTCTGATACATTGCGCCATCAATCTAAAAATAGCTTAATGTAATTAACAAGTGATCCAGTTTAATAACTTACATGCTTCTAGCATAGCTAACTCGTCATCGATGTCCTCTGGTCGGTCAGACAGTAAGAACAGACGCTGGTATTCGTCCAGTGGGTGTGACGATATCTCGTCAAGTTCGCTGTGATCTCGGAGTCCCACTCCCACTGTGTAAATGTAGGTTCCGTCATTCTCATTTTTCTCTGCTGCTCGGAACGCCCCATACCTGTCTGTGCTTTCGTCATTTCCGGTAATCAAAAGAATGAAGTTTCTAGCAAAGTCTCTGTCGCCATTTTCTGGCCTGAACATCCTCCTTCTAACATAATCTAACGCGCCTACCGTATTGGTCTCGCCTGCCTGGTACTGGACGTCGTCTATTGCAGCCACAACGCCATCCCTGGTCAGGTAATCGTCCAGTTGATACTGAACGGCCTGATCAGTACTGTATCTGAGAAGACCGACACGGAATTTCTCGTTGTCGATGCTGAGCTGGCCGGCAACCATCTTGGCGTAATTTCGAATCCATTCGAATGTCTCGGGGGTGACTGAGGAATCCAGCACGATTACGAGATCGAACGCTCTTTGTGGTGGTAGATCGGTTACTACAACGAAGAGAAATCTATATAATTTCAAATATAGTCTATAAATTTTAATCATTTAATTTTTTCTTTCAATCGAGTGGATGTCATCAGATATTTATTCTTTGATTTCTTAGTCTTGACAAAGTCAAACAATGTAGCAGAGAAACCAAAACATGCAGTCCAAACATTCTCTCAATGAGTATCAGATATAGCACACGATACACTGACTAGCCATAGACGACGTAACCTTTTCTTGGTACGTTACATCAATAGAGCTATAGCTAAACCTAGTTTAGCGTTAATTTTTAATACGTATACAACTGCGACTTAACGAAGTAAGTTGAGAAAGGAAATATGCGAAATTCGTTGTTGATTCAGTTATTCATTCCTAAAGTCTATAAATAACAGGTATTGCATTCTTTAAAGAATTTAAAGAATTAAAAAAACCGACAGTTTATCAAATAGTTAGGGGGGGGGGGGGGGGGGGGGGGGGGGAGGGGTGTGTGAGGAATGATATTTTCGAAACGTTAAAAATTATCAGAAATAATGTTCCACTTTGCATGCACATGCTAACGCGCATGTTTACCTCTCGGAGTGGTACTCTGAACCTCACTAGTTCTCGGCTCCTCTGTAGGTCTACGGCCTAACATAGAGACATAAACACAGACAGTGCAACACAAACAATGTTATACATCATACATCGTAATACATAGTACATTGTTGTACGTAATACAGTGTGATACATGATACAAAGGACATGATACAGTGTGATACAGTATACAGTGTAATACATATTATAGTCTCATACATAATACATTGCGATACATATTGGTACATATTACATTAGGTTACAAACCTGGTTTATATTGTGGTATATTATATATTTATAATACATGCAATTTTTTTACACAAGATGGTACATACATTAAAAAAGAGTTTAATCTGAAAGCTTTGTGTATCCTTTAGATAATATTATATAAAAACGGCAAATGCGTTTGAACATTACTAGCTTTCTCAAGCTTTGGGGCCATCTTCAGGCGCTAACTGTAACAGCTATCAGATGAAGCCTACCTGGACAGAGAGACGAAAAGACCTGGTCACTAAGAACGTGGAGTTCGTCAAAGGTCTGCACATTGAAGCTGTTTTCTGATGCTGGTTTGTTGGCAATGCCGTCTAACTCTTTGGTATCTTTCAGACCGATACCAATGGCATATATGTGGATGTCTGCAACTCTTGCCCTGTCGGCTTCCGGGACGGTTCTCCGGGAATTGATGTTGGATACACCGTCTGTTAAGATGATACAGATGTTTGGGACACCATCACGATCCCCGTCGGCGGCATTGAACATGCTATTCATCGTTTGTAGTGCATCAGCCGTGTTGGTACTCCCGTAAATGTAAGGTATTTCATCGATAGCTTGGTTTATTTCCACTCTGGTTGAATAGGAATTTAGATTGAACTGAATTTCTACCCCGGAACTGTAGATCAAGGCACCCACACGTACGTTACCGGAATCAATGTCGGCGTTGCTCAGGAAATCCTTACAGAAAGCCAGCATTTTATCGTAGTTATCTTGTCCTACACTGGTGGAGGCGTCTATGATGATGATCAAATCAACTTTGGACAAGGCACAATCTGCAAAAATTAATTTTGTTTACAAACATACCATTCGTCATAGATAGCATATTTCTCATACATTCTATAGAGTTAATTTTTGTTATTAGAAGAAGATACGATAAAATGAATATAATCTTCCTAAAATAATATCTGTTTCCTTCTTAACCAAAAACATGATTTACATAAACTACGTACCTGACGGTGGTGGTAGAGTTATCGGGATGGGTGTTGTCGCTGGATAAAAAGCAAAAATAGATGAATAAATAAAATGGAATACATCAATATTCTTTAGTGATTTTTTAAACTTCGCAAGAAAGACAAAAATCTACACGTTTTAGGAAATCAAAGGATCAGTAAGTTAAAAAACAGGTTTTATTTCTTTTCCGTATTCTATTAGAGCTCTTCGTAGATATGGATGTCTGCAAGTTTTAGAACTTAAACATAACAAACCACTACGTAAAAAAAGTATAAGGACAATAAATCTCTAGATATTAACGTACTTGGCGGAGGATATGGTCTTCCTCTAAATCCTGTTGGTGGTTCCTCAGGCACTGAAATAAAGGAAATTAAAAAAAGAGTTCATATTGATTGATAAAAAGATTACAAGATATTACAACATTTTTTATTATAAGGGAAAAACTTATAATTTTGGTTATCTCTGATAGATTTATTATTCGCTAGAGACTTGGTACACTCTAGACCAATTTCAGTTTTCTGTTAAAAGAAGATTCATGAAAAATGTTGTTTTCAATGACAGCAGTGTCCTGAATTCCATATCAAATAACAATGATAAAGATTGGCCTGTGACAATTTCATCACAAATATATCGGAATATTCACATTTTCAAAACATCGATTCTCTTCAGATTTATGGGCGTTATTGATATCTGTTGGACAATCAAACCGCTCACGACCTTAACAATATAAAATAAAACAAATCACAAATTCAATATATATATCACGAAAAACATGTGATGACGTAGTCCAATTATAAAATGTGTTTTAAACGATGTGTTGATACTTGCATGCTTCTAGCATCGTTAACTCGTCATCAATATCCTCTGGTCGGTCAGACAGTAAGAACAGACGCTGGTATTCCTCCAGAGGGTGTGACGATACCTCGTCCAGTTCGCTGTGATCCCTGAGTCCGACTCCCACCGTGAACAGGTAGGTTCCGTCATCTTCGTTTCTCTCTGCTGCCCGGAACGCCTCATATCTGTTTGTGCTTTCGTCATTTCCGGTAATCAAGAGAATATAGTTCCTAGCAAAGTCTCTGTCACCATTGTTGGGTCTAAACATTCGCGTCCTTACGTACTCTAAAGCTTCAGCTGTATTGGTTTCGCCTGTCTGGTACTGGACATCGTCCATGGCAGCCACAACGCCATCCCTGGTCAAGTGGTCGTCTAGTTGATACTGCACGGCCTGATCGGTACTGTATCTGAGAAGACCGACACGGAATTTCTCGTTGTCGATGCTGAGTTGGCCGGCAACCATCTTGGCGTAATTTCGAATCCATTCGAACGTCTCGGGGGTGACTGAAGAATCCAGCACGATGACGAGATCGAATGCTTTTTGTGGTGGAAGATCGGTTACTACAACGAAGAGAAATCTATATAATTTCAAATATATTCTATAAATAACAATCATTTGAATTTTTCTTTCATTTGATTGGATGTCATCAGATATTTATTCTTTGAATTCTTAGTCTTGACAAGGGCTAACAATTTAGCAAAGAAACCCAAACATTCAGTCCAAACATTCTCTCAATGAGGATCAGATATAGCACACGATACACTGCCTAGCCATAGACGACGTAACCTTTTCTTGGTACGTTACATCAATAGAGCTAGCTAAACCTCGTCTCAACGTTCGCTTACATCCGGGGTATACCATTAATTTTCAGACGATTTTATTTGCCATTCAACTACGACTCAGATGTAGAAACTATAAGCAATTCGTTGTTAATGCAGATATTAAACGCAAACCTTATTACAAAATTATATAAATATCAGGTATTGTAATTCTATAAAGTGTCAAATAAAATCTTCTGCATATTAAATATTTAGGGGGAAAGGGAGAGAAGTCATGAATATTTAATGAAAACCCCCACTATTTTTAAACGATAGTCAGAAACAATGTTCAACGTGGCATGCACATGCTAACGCGCGTGTTTACCTCTCGGAGTGGTACTCTGAACCTCACTAGTTCTCGGCTCCTCTGTAGGTCTACGGCCTAACATAGAGACATAAACACAGACAGTGCAACACAAACAATGTTATACATCATACATTGTAATACATAGTG